CCCCCTTTAGCGCCGGCACCCACCGGCCCTAACTCCGTCATGCACGTAACCAATACCAACATTCGACAACGATATTCCAATTCACAACACCAACACCCAATACCGACACATAACCAACTCGCGACATCCAGATGCCTTTTCCCAAACACACTAAAGGGAATGGCCGGCATGTTGTGACAGGTGCATCAATGCTACCTTGATCCAGCAAAGATGACTCCCAGCTTGCATAGGCATTAGAGATCCTTGGTGACACTCAGACACTTGACAAAGCTTGCTGTCAGCTGGCATGTTGCAAATGTTAAAAGCAAACTTGGACTTGGATTTGGAGTTTAGAATGGAACTTTGATATTCTGTTTCAAGCAACCTTCTTTACAACTCTGACAACTCATATTGCCTTGATGTGGTTGAGTTTGGGTGCGCTTACCTTTGGCTAGGCTGGGACTGGCGGCCCTTACAAAGATGTACGCAATGACAATGATTCAACATTGCAAAATATAGTTTTCATGATTATGGCCGGCAATTGCAATATGGTATGCGGCATGCGGTATGATGTATGCTTGTCTTGAATATGGTTCAATACGAAAGAAACAATAAGTAAGTTGGATGATGTATGCTTTGCAAACCCACAAACATGAAACAATTGTGCAGTGCAGTGCTGTCCAAAAATCTCTGTCGCAAACTCTTCCACCATGAAGGGGTCCTTCTTCTGCGGCGTGCTGTCCATTCCTGCAGTTTGCAAGAGATGGCATTTTGACAGACAAAAATAGGTCAAATCAAATAAAATCAAACCAAATCAACAAACACACAAAGACTCCGGTGACCAAGTGCAATATACCACAAACCAACCATGCTGTAATGCTTTGATTTGATACATGTTGAGATTGAATGAACCTGTTGATTCTTTAAAACACACACTACATGCTACAGATGAAATGATCCCAGTGAAATGATTCCCAAGGACACCAAGGACCATCCTTCTGGTTACTAGCAAGCTTCTAAGACAATGTATTGGATTGGACTGCACTGTACTCTGTACTATGCAATTCCCAACATTCCAAGGGTCCAAGGCTGATGATGCGGCTTGACCTGCCCCAGGTATCCCATTGCTTCCGTCGAAGAAGCATCAGGAAGGCATCCAAGCGGTACTTCGATCTGGACAAGGTTGATGCACTTGGCCCTCCTGGCCAAAGGATCGGGACAATGATTGTCTTTAATTGGTTGGCATGAGTCACTGGCCATGGCAGCCACAGGACAAAAAAAATGCCTTGATGACTTAATGACAATGAATTCTCAAGTTGATGTTTCAACAGTCTCAACTCTCAACAGTCTCAATTCATCGAGCTGAAGATCTCAAGTCTCGAGAGTCACTGAGCCATCTAGATTTGGCATTGAAATTTGAAATTCCTCAAAATGTGCCAATTCAGTGACTTGCACTGACTGCCCTGCGGCATAATTAGTTTTTAGATATCGAACTGCTAGCCACTAGCCTACTGACGGTCCCACCCGCTGCCTAGCAGCGCCGCTCCTTGATTGTGTTCCAGGTTGACTCCATCTTTTGACACTGTGCTAAGAAAGTCAGCAAAGTTTCCGGAGATCAAGTGAAAACATGTTTGCAAGACAAACCCGAGTTGTTTTTGGTTTCTCAATTGGATCCCCACTGTCATGTATTCAAACAGTTGTTTGATAGTATAAGAGGCGCCACCACGCCCCCGGTGCTGTAAAGGCTTGCTCGCACCAGAGTTCTGCAATGCTTCCCTGTGGACCTGGTCGACCTCATGGAAACTGCTTGTATAATCTGGTGACCAAGTGCTGACACAAGTTTTGACATCTTCAAACTTGAAGTGCAAATTGCATCAAGTTGAAAATCAAATATGCATTTTGCAACAGCACTAGTAGCTTTAGAGAATACCAAAGGAGTAAGCAGGAGGGCCGGGTAAGCAGGATTCATTCAAACTACAATCTCAGGGAAAATGGGAACATATCATCATATCTTAGATCAAGAATCAAGTCAAATCAAATTCTTTTAGATCAATTGATCATTAGGCATTAGGTCATAACATGGAAGTGAATCAATGAAGTCGCAGAATGGCCAAGTTGCTTTGGTCAGCTCATGCAACAAGCGCAATCCATCATGGAATTTGACCTGGAAACAATTGCAACGGACAAACAGAAAGAAGGCCTTTTCACTTTTCACTGCTGGTTATAACTTGGGTGTGTCCTATCAGCTGTAACAGTCAGTAAGCAATTAGCACCATTTAGAGAAGGGCCTTTACTGAAGTTCCATTGACCAACCCATCAGTGCCAGCTGGCCTAATCCAATGATCCAAATCGCAAGATCGGCACGCCAGCAGCAGTCAGCAAGCCGAAAGCAGCTGAAACTTTGCCAGCCGCAGCAGCCAGCGCTTCCAGGAGGCCTGATCTGCAAGATCGCCAGCAGCAGTGAAGAGACAGCAGCCAGCGCTTCCATGAGTGAAACACATACTACTTGAATGTTGAAAGTTGAAAGGGATGTCTATCTATGTAAAATGCCAGTGCAGTCAGAATCTATGTGAAGTGACGTGCAACGCCTATGGACCAGTGTCCTTTAACTTGGGTGAATCCAGGGCATGATGATAGTCAGTACAGGCCCTTCTCTAAATGATGCTAATTGTTTATTGACTGTTACAGCTGATAGGACACACCCAAGTAAAACAGCTCCGGTGAACAGCTGACTGTTCCAGCTGACTTTTAGAGCTCCGGTGAAACAGCCTTCTTTTTCTGAAGGCTTGGTCCAATTTGACAAAGGCAGCTTTCATGGTGAATTTTTTGTTTCCCTACCTGGTGTCAACACTGGTTTTCAAAAATGTCTATTTCCTTTTTTTTTTGTCTATTTGCTTTTTTTCTTACCCCCCCTGACCCACGCAATTTGGCAGTTCCGATATA